ATATATATATATATATATATATATATATATATATATATATTCAAAAGCACTTACAACATTGAGAGATCGAGGCAGACCGAAACAAAGCGACAGCTCCAAATTAATGCTGTTAATACCTGCCACGGCGTTTGCTTTAACTGGTGGAGAGGGAAGAAGCGCCATTCGAAGGAAAGAAAGTCTAGAGGAGAGGAGAAAAGAAAATGGAGTTACTTTCACTAGGATACAAAGTATGCTATGGTGGGTCAACTGCCGATCTAATGTCGACAGGGTTTTACTAATTATCAGAATTGGGCGGGGAGGGGGGGGGATTTTGCCGGAGGGTGGAATTGTGGTTGCACGCACACGTCTGATGAGTTTCGAATTATTCAAATGATTTTCAAATCATGCTTTCCATGAAAGAAAGGATGAAAAGAAGCGCTTGAAATGCTATGGGATTAAAATAGTTCTTTTTCTTCAAACATCCACATCTGGGGTGTCAAAAGTTCACCCCTGCGCAGGAATGGAGATGATAAAAATGCAATAAAAAAACAACCAACAAACTGTGAGATATGAAGGCAAATAATTCGAGTTAAAATGTGACGAAGAATAATTGCAGCACTATTAAGTGACAATTTGTGACCACTGGCTTCGTGCAAAGAAGCTCTGAATGTTTATCCACAAACCGAATTTCAGTGTAAATTTTCAAATTCTAATTTTAAGAAAATGAATTCATTATTTCATTTAAAAACTAAAAATTGTTAGCCAGTTGCTGCTCTGCATAGTTAATGTTCAGTCAATAAAACCACAGAGATCCATTAAATCGAATCGTAATATATATCTTTTCATATCAAAAAGACTCATTTATAAAGATTAGATTTCTTCATATAATTGGACAAAGTACTGGGAGCTTTAATGGAAATTTATTATTGGAAATTAGTACTTGCCAAAACGGTTACTTTTCATTAAGTTCTCTCGACCAGTGCTCACGACCATCAATCATTTTTACCTGACATATGGCATGTAGTGACAAGGGCAAAAAATAAACTATCAATAGGCGAAAGTAGTAAACAATGAACAAGGGCGCACTTACCCTTCCACATGAAGCCACATTTTGTGTCGTTGGCAGAGGCGAGTCAGCTCCGGGAGTTGATCAAAGCTGCCATTTGGAGTTGAGCCTGAAAAAAAAAACATAAGTCAAGATTGCATTAATAATCAATACGTTTACAGTAATAAAAAAAGCAGAAAAAATAATAAAATAAACGTGATACAAATAAAAAAATGGCCAGATAACTCGACCCTCTAGACCGGAAACACGTAGTTTTCAGGACTGGACTGGATTTAAACATATTTTTCCTGTCACTATGCCATTATGAATTAACTATTCTGCTTGTGTTTTAACTTCAAACTGTCATGTCCTCGGAACAAAAGGATGTTCCCTGTCACCTCAGTCCTCCATTTCACTCATTCCACATATCTGTTCACAGCATGGATTTCACTTTCTCTCAATTTCTGATTCCTGAAAGGCAACTATCTACCAGTAGTCATCAAGATGATCTTTCGATTTTTTTAGGAATTGACCTTAGAAAAGCATTCGCATATTTCCTCAATAATTAGCATTTAACATTATGATTACTTCCTTCTATAATAAAGAATCTTCGCTGAAATCCCTATTAATAGAACACAAAGACGGTAAAATAAGATCTTACAAAATCATCCAACATTCCATATCACGACAAAAATTGAAATTACGAATGCAAATTAAAACTAAGGGAAAAAATATTGAGATTTCAAATGAAGAGCATTATCACAATTTCTCACTGACAATTGTTGCCAACTGACAAAATTAAAGCACTTCTCTCCCAAAAACTAAACACTAACGCTGACTTTGGTATCTACTTAGGGGTAGTAAAATTTCAGCAAAAGACTGGAGGCAATGGACTGAGAAGTTAGTCATAAGTCATGAAAAAAATAGTGATTAGAGGATTATATGGACAGGTTTCTCAATCATCAACTGCAAAGTGTCAGAGGTCCTCGACACAAATCTACTGATAATTATGGCCTACCACAAGGGGTGTCCGATAGACTTACCTCCACGTGGTGCAATCTGGGCAACGTA